CGAATTCTTAAATTAAATTACGTATTGTTTCAAGTTTTTTCCAATGTCCTGGTTTATTTTTTCCGAATTATTGGCCCTCTGTGTCCTTTTCCATGTTGTGGATCTGTTCTCTGATCGGTTCGTCCACCACACCAAGACACTGAATTGAGGAATCCCTTACCGCCACCAGAGTCCCACCCCGCGACCTTGCGACTCAAAAAAAGGTGTCCAGGACCAGGATAGTCACGCACAAACCCGCACACCTAGCCGCCGCGTCTAGTTTGGATCGTACGAAGCCGAGCGGTATCAACCGGGCGAACGCGGCAACAACAAAAATCGGCCCGCACCGTGACTGTTTACTACTGAAATTCGCCGCCCCCGCCGGCCGGGATGGAGCACTCGGTGAATTGTAGTAGGTCAGGGTCCGTGTCTGTGCGTCCTATTCGCCTCGTCGTACCGGCAGCGACAGGATATGCAGTCGGGCCCGCGATACGGAACGGTGGCGCGAGGAAGAGGCCCGCTGCCGCTGCTGCCGATCGACAGTCACTTAGTGTGGCGGTCCTCGCTCCACGGCACCGGGTCGCCGGTCCTCGTGCGAGTATGTGTCTGTGTGCACTAGGTCAGGCTTTGTTTTCCGCGTGTTTATCTGCCGAGGGGGGTCGACCGAGCGAGTCGCGTGCTGGATTTTTTTTTAGCGGGCGCACGCCGCTACTACTATTACCAGCGCTATTTGGCTAAATTCAGTCGGGTCGCGGGAATAAGGGGGGCGCGGGAGGAGAGAGTGGTCGGCACATTCGGACGAACAATTTGTAAGGACTATTGCGCTTTACATGAATTTTATGTAAAATTGCACAGATAAAAAGCGTAGAAATTTACATAGACCTTTTGCAAATTTTCAATGGTTTGCAATACGTTGCGCAGATTTTCGTTTTGAGTGTAAATTTTCCTTTTACGATATTATTATCTGTAATTTATGTAAATATTCGTTTAACTTTATTGTCGTGTATGAGAAACATAAATATAATAATTATAATAATCATTTATTGTAAAGAACCACAAGTACAGATTTTCACAAAAGGAAAGTGCATCAACAAAGCTGATTTACAACACTTCCTGGGAGAAAAGTAACGGAAAAAGTAAAACAGATAAAAGAAATATCGATATACATATTTTAATATTAACCGTATCGAACTTTATCTAGTTTTTACACAGACTTATTTTACTTACACTATATTTTGTTTTCAAACGAACTACCATCGAAATGGTTCAAATTCCAAATGCTCTTTGACACAGGGACTAAGGCAAAATCCTCATCAAGCGAAAAGTCTTTACGCGAATGAATTTCGCGAAAGTTTCTCCAAAATAGTTACTTTTGTATCTAGAATGCGAAATGGTACTTTTTCGTTCAAGAATCGCTAAGCTCGGCAAAATATCCTTCCGAGAACGCAAAAACATTTGGCGTTCGAGATGTAAACAATATTTTTATGAAAACTGCAATCAATAAAATAANCTATTTAGGGGATGAAAAGACGCCCAAAATGAAGAATTGAATATTACCAATAAATATAAAAACTATTAGCATGTGAATTTTTCTATCGAATGATCCTTGATACAAAGATTTATTCTCATGACTGAAATAAGCATGTTGAATTAGAAAATCCACCCTTACGCGCTCAGGGGGTGGAATCATCTCCAAAAATAGAAAATATCAGAAATAATTGTAACAATTCCAAAAAAAATATATTAAGATAATTCACATAATAGTTTTTATATCAATTGGTAATATTCAAATTCTACATTTTTGGCATTTTTTCAACACCCAAACACCTAGATAGGGGTGATTTTTTAAATTGTCAAAATACTAAAAGCTACGGCCATTTCAGTTTTTTTTACAAATAATTTGCGACCAAAAACATGATTTTATGATTTTTTTTAATTCTTTGCGAATTGTGAAAAAAACGGGCGAAAATCAGGTTTTTTGCGGTCAGTCTTTAAAAAAACGCTTTGGATGAATAAATGTGCATTTTTTGGGGTGATCCGAATATTTCTACTTGCACCAGTGGCGTTCGTACGAGAAATGCACAACCGTTATTAAAAAAAAATGGTACGCTACTGACTTTTTCCCGTTTTGATATTTTTTCGGAAATCCACCATCAATTCTGAATGAAATTGGTCCCTTCAATTTTTTTCCGAGGATGCACCGTATTTGAAGAAAAAAATAAAACACATTTTATTGAAAGTTGTGTATTTTTAATTTCTATTGATATATTATCTTGTAGGTTCCTGTCAATATTTCTAAATAAAATACAACCATCAAATTTCAAGCCAGTATCTTTAAAAAACTCTGAATTACTTAATAAAATTAAACTTTCGACGCTATGGTCAGCATATTCCATGTTAAAAAGTACACTAAATGCCAAAAAAATGTAAATATCAGAAAATTTCCAAAACTAATACCATATTCGAAAAACAAATCAGTTTGGATAGCGTCCGAAAAAGTTCAGGATTCTGACGAAAGAGGGAATTGAGAGATTTTTACAAGAAGCACCTGATAATTGATTTCTACTAGAATAGGTAATACAAATTAATATAAATCGAACGATTTAACTAATTTTGGACAACTTTTCAGGTAATTTTAATAATTGGTGTTTGTGGAGCTTTGAGAACAGATGAACTACTAAAGATAACGATCGATTATTATATAAAAGATTCAATTATTATTATAAGAATTTCCTATTCCAAAAGTCATACTCCGAGATGTTTTGTGATTTCAAATCCAGACCAAATGAAGATAATACCGCAAATACTGTGCTTTAAATTCGACAGTAACTACAAGTCAAAGATTTTTTGTGAAGTATGTCAGGGAAAAATGTGTTAACCAAGTGGTTGACGTCGACAAAATAAGGAATATGCTAAAATAAATTGGAACTTATCTCAATTAGCCTCATCCGGAAACTTATACAGGATTCAAAATTAACTCTAGAAATTATGAAACTTACAATAATACAGATACGGGGAAAATACATATATTTTAAATGTACCTAAATAAATGATAAGCAGTGCAATTGAACTATAAAAAACACTTTTATCAGATAGATAATCAAATCCTAGTAATTCCATCCATGGTAAAACAGTCTTATTAAAAAAAATTCCTAACGCAATAATTTTAACCGACAAAACTTAGTAGCAAAAAACAAACTGCATATCACTAACTTAATTACCGTTTCACAGAATCTAGTCCGTAAGCCAAGAAAGCTCGTTTACCTTACATAAAATTTCTTTGGAGAGTCGGCTGAAAGCGAGGCTATAAGGATAATCAAACGAGGCCTTAAATATAAGGCATTTACATAATGCGTGTGTAAGTGAGCATGGAGCAACTTTCCGAAATTAACATTATGGGAAACGGGAAATAAAATGTTAAATCACAGTATCGATTAAGGTAATTTAAATTATTGCTAATTTGTGCCCGTACACGATTAAGCGAATGAATTATTGCTCGACTTCGTTTAGAATCGGATACGAAATATTTTGTATCCAGTTTCTTAATACAAACAATTCACAAATAAAAAAATTTCAACTTATTCCAGATAAAACATGTGAATGTAACATACGTAAGTTTCTTTAAAACGCAAATTAAAATAAAACAAATACGTCAAAGGAATGCACAAATTATTGATAGAACAATAATTGTGATCGATATTTCAAATAAGAAAGCTACTTTTAACTGTATGAATTGTTAATGTAAATTTTTCCAAGTAGGTAAAGGCAACTTAGTAACGGAAACATTTTACAAACACTTGTGTCAATCCATCGATAGATTCTAGGAATATGAGATTAGAATTAATCTCAAAAACGTGTTCTATAAAGCAATAACCAGATTTATACCTATATTTAAGAATAATAGAAACATTCCATTACAAGCTAACTGTATATTTTATTAACGCCGGAAATAATAATTGTTATAGTTTATATAAATGCAATAATAAAGAAGTTGTAAGTTCCTCATTGTAATTACTGGGTACGTTAAAATAAAATGCATACTATTTCAATAAGGCCGTATTATTAAAAAAACATAAATTGAACATTGCTCATTGATAGGCAAATTCCAATACTGGAATAGGTACTTTCAACCTGAAAGCATGATTTTTTAAATTATATTTGACTATACACTTAAGAATGCAGTTGTAAATTATTTTAACATCCAGAATGTTAACATACGATTAATTTCAGATAAAATATTTTGTACAAACACAGAGGAATGCGAATATTTTATTGCACTAGAAAGGTAAAATCGGAAATATTTGCGTTACTTGTGCCAAAGAATCCGTCATAATTTAAATAGAAACCACCAGCATAATTCTAAAATATTCCGTAGTTTTTACCTTGGCTCGCGAGGCGATAATTAAAATCCATTGCAAAACGTATTTATTTAATAAAGTCGAGCACGCCACAGCACAACAATGCGCTGCCTACATACTAAAGATTAAAAATAAAACTGATATAAAATAATTCCTATCCTTGTAACGTATTTCGGTACTTTTCCGTTCCTTTTTCAAACCAGATTGTTTGTTTACGCGATGGAGAAATTCAAAGTGAGAGTACCGACTTGACAAATGCTAGCTGCAGTGAAAAAAAAATCTGAATGTGTCCAGCGCTACACAATGCACGCCTTCTGAAATTTTTTACACCGGCCGAAGGCACTTTCCGATAGAGTTGACCCTGACCTTGCTCCACTCCACCTTCCGTGTCTCCCGAATCGCGAGAGAACTCTAGACGAGTACGGTTACCGCTTAGCAGCCGATTGCTTATTATCATCAAGCCCTAGCCGGGCGGCCAGAGACTCTAAACAAAAACATCAACACATGCACACACATCTCGTCCATGTCCGATTCTAAAAACCGGTGTGTAATGGAAATCGGTACTGGCGAATTTCATCATAGACTTTTGTCAAGGACATCAACTCCGAATATAAAATACATTTAATAAAGCCGTTCGAGCGACAAAAAAAATAGTGTACCTACCTTTATCCATCCCCCTAGGGAAGTAACGAGAGAATACAAAAGATACAGGTCGACCTCCCGGCTGCCGAGAGTAGGGGCCCTCTTGAACGGCGTCCTGTGGGAGAGGCGAAACGTTAAATAATAACGGATTCCAGATCAAACACAGTGACTTACCCTCGGGTCTCATGGAAGTGCTGCAGGTCCCGAAGGAAACCATCGCGTTCCTTCGCGTACGTGGCCTGATCCTTCCCGAGAATCTTGGCCATAGTAGAACCCCCGTTGACGGCACTGCACGTGTCACAGAGTACCGAACGTCATGACCGGCAGCGGACGCGACCCCAGGACGCTAAAACAACGGTCCCGACGTCCGTTTAGTTCACCTCCCGCAATTGGGGATGCTGGAACCTCGCAGTCGTTGGCCAGGCAGTAGACGACTCCCTGCGCTAGCTAGCACGACGTTGCACTCACTCTGACCGTAATAATGCGCAGAACCATCGCTTTCGCGGGCGCTATCCGCTTCACTATCACTACCGCTTAAAGATGCACCGTTTATAGATAAAATGCACTGTCCTGCATAATTCCGGATTGATTTTTTTCACGATAATGCTCTCCGGAACCTCACAGTTTTAACCCATGATGCTTGACAAGACTATTACAACATGGCTGCCGGTTCCCCGTTATTGTTAGGCGCGAATAAAACATAATTATTCCAGTTAATCTCTGTCCACCGGACGCACAAACTCACTTACTTGCTACAGCACTCACCCACGATAAAATTTACACTAAGTACGGAATTTTCTTTGGCCTTTTTTGCCCGGGAATGAGTAATAGAAATTACAGTTTTTAGATTTGACAACACAAAATAATAGTTCAAATGACAACCAACGACCGACACGAGCGTCATCTATAAAAAATCCCCGCAAACTGCTGTGGGAAAGTCGCTGAACTCAACGGGCGGCGGCAAAAGCTTTAAATTGTTTATTGCGGTTGCGCCAGTAAAGGAAATTTCAATTTGAAGAATGTGAAATGTGATCTAGATTCTAGATATGACATATAACCTAGAACCTAATAATAATTTCCTAATTTCCATTATCATCTAATAATAGAAGGTAAAGTGTAAAATATTTTTATTTCACTCTATTATTTGTCGAAACATTACAATATTAAGGTTCTTAAATTATACGTATATCAAGTATGTAAAATACATTTATTTCAGTTACACAGTATGCGGTCGGCTAAATATAAAAAATGAACTGAATGAGAATACCGATGTGATTGTTGAAAGCATATCTTATTTTGTGGGTTACAAATATAGTAAACGTATGTGATCTTATATAACAATTATCTTGGAAATAGAATAGTTTCATTAGAATATTAGAATTTATATTCCAATTCAAATTATTTTAACTACACGAATCAGTTTTAGAGATTAATAATTTATTAAACACATTTATTGTGTATATTATATTTTAATGCTTTCTGTTAAAGAGTGCCTCGATGTGAAAGAAAATAATTACATTTGAATTTCCCGCTCTTTGTCAGAATTTTTATTTGACAGGAGAGTATATTATAAAAAAGTACTTACAAAATTATGTACTTAAGTGATATAAAGTATATATTTTTAATCAATTCATTGGATCAAATTGTATATTTTACAATCGCTACCAGGCCTATCTCTGGATTCTCTAGTCGCTACCTTTTCTATCAAAAATAATTTTGACATTTCAAATTAAATTTTTGAAGTCCTAATCGGATTGGATATGATAAGGATCAGTTCAATGTTCATCAGTTCACTTTAAATTCTAACCTTAAAGGTGACCACGTTGTAAATAGTTAATTTTATGAGTTTGTGTAATGGTTTATAAAAGAAAAAAGTACCACTACGGAGATACTCACTTGAAAAAGAAATGGAGAACAAAACGAAGGACTAAAGATTTAGACCAGGTAAAACTATATCTTGTAAGATAACTTTATGGAATTTTACATAGTGATACATCAAGTAGATTAGACATAATATAATTATTGTTACAGATCGACGAAGATATTAAGCCGGAAAATGCGAGCCGCTTGTTGAATCAAGAAGTAGATCTCGACGTGCCAGGTGGAGCTCAGCATTACTGTGTACATTGTGCCCGACACTTCATAAACAATACCGCTTTACAAGATCATTTTAAAACAAAAGTCCACAAGCGAAGACTGAAAGCCTTAGAATTGGAACCTTATACCATCGAGGACTCAGAACGTGCCGCTGGTTTCGGAAATTGGAAAGCGCCTACTAAAAGGAAGATTGAGACACAACCTCCAACTGCAGAAAATACTAGTACTGGGGACGAAAACAACGAAGTTGACAGTCCTAGTAAAAAGATGAGAATAGATGAAGACTCTTAAAATGTTAAGTTACTTGAAACTTGTATTTATTGTACCATTTCGTGTAAAGAGACAGTTTTCTTCAGCGTTATATATAACGGGGGACAAAGCTCACAAAACATTTGCAGTGCTAACACCGGTGATCGATTTCGAGAAACAGTTAGAAAACAAAGATGTTTTGGAAAGGAATTTTAAGGCGAGGCAGCTACCTCTGGATATAGATAAAATAGAAGAGAGGTGGAAATTCTTTCACGATATAGACATTCAGAAAAAAACTTTAGAATTAACACGGATTAAGATAGGAGCTCTGGTAAGAGAATTAATGAAGGACGAGGAGGCTAATAAACATGAAATCGAGAAATATAAATTACATTCGAGGTTAGTAAAAGATGATTTAAATAACGTTAAACAATATTTCCACAATCTTGAAGAGGATACCATGTTAATTTTACTTAATTTACCCAACGTTTTACATGAAAAAACACCGCTTGAACTCGTGACACTACACAAGTTTTTAGAAAATTCTGAAGAAAAATCGCTATCTCATATGGAAATTGCGGAAAAATGTAAATTGATCGAATACATAGATCCATTTACGTGTTACTTTAAATCCGATGCCGCCTTATTCGAAATGGCAGTCTTAAATTATTTTAGACACTCGTTACTAGATTTGGATTACACACAATTCTCCAATCCCGATTTTTGCCGCAGCGTCATCGTTGAAGGTTGTGGAATTAAACACGAGGAAAAATCAAAAGTTTTTATGTTGGAACGACACGATCAATCCAAGGACGACGTAAATCGTTTACATTTATGTGGCGCAGCCTCACTTTCTTCATTTATGGCATATTTCTGTAGGCACACCATTCAGCAGTCATACTTTCCGTTAATGTATTTCTCCGTTGGTAGAAAATATCAGCCGATTAGCGAGAAAACTCCGAAGAACTTGTTCAATCTAAGCCAAGAATCGGTTATAAATATCTTCACGTCGACATTGGAAGAAGAGGATATTTTAGACGAAGTATCTAAACATGTTGTTACCTTGTATGAGTCGTTGGGATACCATTTTAGATTAGCTTACTTACCGGCCAACAAGCTGGATGAATCGGAGAGTCTCAGACTGTCAATTCAAATGTATTCGAATCACCTGAAAGACTATGTGGAGGTGGGGAATATTTCCGCTTATGATAGTTACCTGAGTAAACGGTTATTATTTAATTATAGCGTTGATAAAGAACGGAGGTATCCCAAAATTATCGCTGGGACTTTAGTGAACATACCGAAACTGTTGGGTTGTGTTTTAGAAAACAATTCAGTGAAAAGCGCTAGTTTAATAACTTCTTTACTGCAAAAATTTATGTTTGTTTGAAAGTTTCTTTGTCGATATAAAAGTTTCTGTAATCTATTACATACCCTTTCTTCCAATAAAATACAAGGCGTTTTATTTTACAGATGTATAAACCTTAATATAAATAAAAACAAATGAAGTTCAGTAGTTCAAATGTAATTTTCATGAAAAATGTGCACTACTAAAGCAGGTCAATTCTAAAGATTTGCCCTCAAATGGCTTCTTTTAATATAGCACACTGTATATATTATTTTTCTAACAAAGTGAATTTATCCGCCATCTCTACTACTTTTTGTGAACTAAAAACTTATCATCTAAGCAAGCAGGAGGCAGGCATTGATCTATTTTGATTTCATTTCGAATAGGCAGTGTGCGTTCAGATTTTCATTTTGATAACGTCACTTTTCGACAAAAAATATTCTTGCTCGGATTGTTACAAAAAGGATCAACAAATAGCAGTGACACTCAGTTTTGTGCTATTTTAAAAAATTTTTATATTGAATACGAATTAATGAACATAAATCCACGTCTATTACACGTGGCCATAAATAGTTTAGATTTTTGCCATTCTGTGTGCCATCATCACCCACCCACTAGTTACTCTCTCACTTCATTCTATTTTCACCACGTTCTTTTCCATACGAAGGCTGTTGAGGTTATGCCACCGAAGTTTTAAAAAACGATTTTTCGTTTTTATGCATAATTTAGAGTTGTAGTTATTTATTTCATTTCAGTTATTATTTATTTCGGAAGCAAACAGTATTATGGAAAACAGTCTGTCGATTTACAATAAGGAAGCAGATAGTGCTGTAAGTACTTGAAATATGGCATCAGTAATAGAAAATATATGATAATAATTTGCAGCAAGAACAAATTAATTTATTAAAAAGGCAGTTGTCGGAGATCAAGAAACTGATCAAGAATAAGACGGTACAATCTTCCGATGATCCTGAGCTGAACAAAGTTATCACGGAAAATGTAAAGTTGAAACATAGATTGGCAATTCTAAATAGGGTAAGTGGGTAATTTATTTAATTACTATGTATTATTCTTGAATGAAAATTTTAGGCGATTGCACTACAATTGAATAGTGTGAAACTTGCTGCTGCGAAGCCCATTGACAAAACTAGAATGCAGAGTATTACCGACATACTTACCGATATATTTTCATCAGCCATATCTAGGGCTTTCCCAGATATTCCGGACCCTCCTGTTAATATTGCATTATCTGGAAGTAATGTCCAATTTGGTGATTACCAGTGTAATTCTGCTATGGCTTTGGCTAAAGTTTTTAGGCAGTTGGGTAAGAAAGCTGTACCGAAAGAAATCGCTCAAAAGATTGTGGAGAGTGTACCTTCACATGAGCTTATCGAAAAGCTGGAAGTTGCGAACGCCGGTTTTATAAATATTTTCCTAAGCAAAGCTTACGGCGTTGAAAGTTTATCGACTATTTTTGAATACGGGGTGAAACCTCCTACTTTGACAAGGAAACGTAAGGTTTTGGTTGATTTTTCATCCCCGAACATTGCTAAGGAGATGCACGTCGGACATTTACGTTCGACTATTATAGGAGACAGTATTTGCCGATTGTTGGAGTATTTAGGCCATGACGTTTTACGTATTAACCATGTTGGTGACTGGGGAACCCAATTCGGGATGTTAATTGCTCATTTGCAGGAAAAGTTTCCAGACTATCTAGTCAAGATGCCTCCTATCAGTGATTTGCAAGGTTTTTATAAGGAATCGAAGATAAGATTCGATGAGGATGAAGAATTTAAGAAGAGAGCTTACGCTAGTGTCGTTAAATTACAATCGTTCGATCCAGATCACAAAAAGGCGTGGGAACTCATCTGCGACATCTCTCGAAAAGGTAATTTCTAATTATTACCGTTTCAGACCTTGTTAGTTTTTGTGTGTAGAATTTCAGAAAATCTACGACCGTCTCGACGTGAGACTCGTCGAGCGAGGCGAATCGTTTTACCAGACACGAATGGAAAACATTGTCAAGGAACTAGAAGCCGGCGGGTACCTAGAAGAAGACGAAGGTCGAAAAATCCTTTGGGGCGGCGGGACCATCCCCATGACGATTGTAAAATCCGACGGAGGTTTTACGTACGACACCTCCGATATGGCGGCCATAAAACACCGTCTCTTCGAAGAAAAGGACGACTGGATTATATACGTCACCGACGCCGGCCAAGCTACACATTTTCAGACGCTGTTTGGGTGCGCCAAGCGAATAGGCGTGTTGGACGAGAGTATCCACCGGGTCGACCACGTGGGTTTCGGCGTTGTGCTCGGTGAGGATAAGAAGAAGTTCAAGACCCGTTCTGGGGATACCGTTAAGCTTCTGGACCTGTTAGACGAGGGGTTAAGGCGTGCGCTCGATAAACTCAAAGAGAAAGAACGGGATAAGGTAAGTTTTTGCTTTATTTGTCGAAGAGAATGTCAAAAATTGAATTCGTTTTATGTTTTCTTCATCACGACAATCTAAAAAAAAAACTTAAAAATAATTAATGTTTACCGTTTATTTTTTGTCTGCCTAACGCCTTGTTCTCTTAAATCAAAAATGATTTTAATAATTTGTTATTGTTGTTTATATAAAAGGTTCTTACACCTGAAGAACTGAAGAAGGCCCAAGAATCCGTGGCATACGGTTGCATCAAATACGCCGACTTGTTGCACAACAGACACCTCGACTACGTATTCTCCTTCGACAAGATGCTCGAAGACAAAGGCAACACCGCCGTCTATTTACTGTACGCCCTCACGCGTATAAAATCGATTGCTCGCAACGCCAATTTCACCCCCGAGAAAATCAAGGAACTCGGCAAAAAGGAACGGGTTTCGTTAGACCACGACAAGGAGTGGAAACTCGGGAAGGTGCTGCTGCGCTTCCCCGACGTCCTATTCAAAATAACGAAGGATCTCTGTCTGCACCACCTGTGCGAGTACGTCTACGAAATAGCTACGACCTTCACCGAGTTCTACGACAACTGTTATTGCATAGAGAAGGACTCGTCGGGAGACATCGTCAAGGTGAACCACGGAAGGATTTTACTGGTGGAAGCGGCGGCTTCGATTATGGAGCACTGCTTCAATATCCTCGGGCTCAGGCCCGTGTCGAAAATGTAAATAAAACAAAGTGAGTACATATCTCGTTTTATTTGTTACATATCTTTTTGTCAGTATAGAGAGTCTAAATAATATCAACAATAAATTTGAGATTTAATAAGAGCTAAAACATAGAATATATACATAAATTTACAACAAAAACACTTCGGTGAGTACATTTGGATACCAACGATAGTTTCAGATACCCTGTGAAGGCAAAATTAACCTAATTTTCGTGTTTCTAAAATGTCAATGCCTACTGGCAGAAAATGTTATTTTGTACCTACTAGGTTAGTAGGCACAATGTACCAGTAGGCGTAGAGTATCATTGACATACACTGTAGGCTTTTCATCCACATTCAAAACATACCAAAAACTAATTTCCGATCGAAACAATTTATTGTCTTAAAAATCATTTACATATCTTCAATTTTTTTTCATCACTGAAGTGTTCACAGGAAAAAATACTCTATTCTACAAGGTTTTCCCTAATTTTGTTCCGAATCATATTTCACCTATAAAAGAAACATTTTAAAAATAGCAAAATATCATTTCTTTAAAACTTTTTTAACCACCTTAATCGGGATTAAAGTGAGAGGCATATGTACACGAGGCGGGGACAAATGCGTAAAAAAATAAATTCCTGAATTTGCTACACCGTAAAATATAAAAATTCTGCAACTTAAATCACCTAGTCTTTGGTTTGAGTTTTAACAGATCTATAACTAAGGATAGCGTAGGGTAGAATTTGGCACATGTAACGAGTCCGATAACTTAGTTTCACGAAGCGAGGCTCAGTCCTAGGCGGGCCAGGGAGATATTCTTCCTCAACCTTATAATTTCCCAGTAGACATCGTGAGCTGAAATGAAAAAAATCAATTGCCAAAACAGAATTTATAAATATCACTACAGCTAGACTCGAAAACAAAGTTATTTTTTTGGAAAAACACTGCTAAACGTTACGCCAGGACGTAAATCAATTATCAGACATAATGAAGTATTTATAAATTATAATTATGATGAGAGAGATAAGACGTTCACATTGTTTTGATCTTGAGTTAATTTTAAGCTGTGTGATCTCATCTTACTTTCAGGGAACACATGCTGCGATAATCTTGTTGCTCCATAATTGTTTTTAAAAAATGTGTAAACTTACCAGAACTTTTCACCAGACCCCTTTCAATGTATTTGAGATAATTTAAAAAATCACAGACAGCGATAATCTGAAAAACAAAAAATTGATAAATTATAAAAGTATTTTAACTTTTTTCTGGAATACCCTGTAGATTTTTACACTTTTTGTTAGAACCCTCTCTTAGAAACAAATAGCGCAAGAGATTTGACCAAAGCTGTGCTATAAGTGTAAAATCTTAGGTTATGTTGGATATGACTGCCTACTGTTCATTTGAACTACCAATGATCTCTTTCAAATATATTATGCTTGTAACACATACTTTCGGTCAAATCTTTCACACATAGACCTATCAAACTTTATAAATGTTCCAACAGAATGTGTTATACAGGATGTTTAAAACATATCAATACATATATTATAGATTTTTTTTAAAGAAATGAATTTTAAGTGAATAAATTACGTTGTACTCTTCTGATATCTTCAAATGCAACGAAGTTACAGTCGATTCTTAAATTTATAAGTGATTATTTAATCGTTAAAACGAAACCTTACCCTATTCCTACACAGTTGCGATATGCTGTACCAATTGTCCGACTCTCCGATGTTCATCCTATAAAAACATAACCTTGGGACTTCTAGTAACGCACATTTTCTGAAAGATAAAAAATAAAACATGTAAATCAATTACGGTGTTTACGACTGTAATTACATTATAGTCTTCAATTGCAAAATCGTTTACTAAGAATTCTGTTTCATGTTAATTTACGGCAGCCGGATGCGATCATAAATTTATATATACATTTTTTAAATGCATGCACATTAATAACGATCGTTCGTGTCAGGTACATAGTCGTTTTTATATATATTTAATTAAACGAAACGTATTGACTACGGCTACTACGACCCGTAAGATCAAAATTACCCGTTTAAGTTATAACCATCGTTATTTGAATTTTATTAGTTTTTGAAACCGAGCAAGACTTCCTGGAATAAAGATAAAGTTATCAAGTACATAAATTAACTGCCGATGTATTATATAAACGGAATTTTTATGATGTTCTGGTGACTCATATAAAAAATATCCGTGTCGTATTTCTGGGTACTTACTTAGGGAACATGGCTTTTGTCTTGTCGCTGACGGCTTCGATTAGGATCGTACCGGCCTCCACAGCGATGCTGACTTTACTCGATAACTCCTTGTTGTTGAAGCGCAAGCACAGGTTGATGTCTTCGTTGTAAATTCGTTGAATGAAAGGGTCAGTTTTTCCCAACACGGGCTTTTGACGCCAGACTAGGAACTCTTTGTGGAACTCAGGATCCACCTGCATTTTAAAAAATATAATAAAGTAATTTATTTGTTTTATCGATATTTTTTTTATTATGGTCTTTATTACACTTTAGGGCAATCGTTAGCAGATGTGCGATGGACTTTTTTCACTTCCCCTTAAACATTTATAAATACTTTTAGGCGATGTTGGTTTATTTTTATATATAACTAAAATATTAAGAATTAAAAGATTCTTACTCATCGGAGATTTTGACCAATCTCGGTCTTTTGTTATTCAACGTTGTGAATGTTTTATTATTTTGTGCTTCGATGAGGATTTTCATTTTTATTAACTTTTCGTTATAGTTACTCGTGATATTTGTTTTTCTGCTTTATGTTGGCTTAGATTAGGTTAGTTTAGGTTAAGTACATGTTTTTAATAAAAATCTTGCATTAAAATTATTTATACCTTTAACTTTCCATTTTATTTTCAACCATCTTCATTTTTTTTGTCTTTTAGTCTTTATTATCTTTTTTATTAACATACCTACTACTGTTTGTTACTTGGAAAATTTGTATTTTGACTGCTGTAAAGTGTTACAGATCCCATAATCCTATATAGGTAGGTAAATAAACTTAAATTTGTACGCTTAGCCAATCAGATCTCTATATTCTAGAATTATGAATTTTGCCATAACCTAAATGTTGTAGAGCAAATCCAGAATCTTTACTTTGTACAAATAGGGTTGCCAGATGTGCTCGAAAAAAAAACCGGACAGCATTCCAAAAAAAAAAAAAAAATTAAATAAATAGATTTTGAGATAAGCTATGAGTCATACCAAGGCAGTACAGAAGTTTACGGAACTATCAAGCAAGGCGGACTTTTTCATTTTTCACTCTACGAATCCAGTGCATTGTTGCCTATTAGATTTGCGCAACTAATTCAGCGGCGAAATAAATTCGTTTTCCGTGCGCTGTTGCCGCTGTTACCGTTTTTAGGCAAACATTTTTTCCCAAATTGCAGGATATTTTATGAATTCAACAAAAAACTGGACATTTGCTTGTCCGGTTTACCAAACATTTTTCAACCGGACAGGCATCAAAAAAACCGAACTGTCCGGTCGAAAACCGGACATCTGGCAACCCTAGGTGTAATCAGTTTTTGAATGTTTTTTAATTTCAACAAATTATCAACAATAACTGAAAAATTCATTGCTGCAAGTCATTTTTTATTTTTTTGCATTTTTGAGCATGTTTTTGAACTGTTATTATAGATCTTTTTAATTCACCAAAAAGTATATTTCTAAACGAAAAAAATGATTACCGGCAGAAGTCTGTATGATGAATTTTTTAAGTAGAATTTTTCTTTGAAAAAAATGAATATCTCAGAAACTTCTTGATTTTTTTTATCTAAAAAAATTTGAGGTCATTTAAAACAGAGAAAGGTATACTTTCACCAAGTTTCATCAAAATTAAAATATTTTTGCCGAAATGAGGAATAAAAAACAAAAAATCAGAAAAAAAATCTGTTTTTCGCATTTTTCTCAGAAATTTTGGGGTTATGTTAAAAAGTGACCTCTACAAAAGTTGTAGATTTTTGCATGATCCACAACTCTTGTATTGGATACCTTTTTGTTTGACGTCAACTTTTGCCAGAAATCCCAATGATACAAGTTTTCATAACTTTTCAACCCCCCAAATCA